CTGTAAATGGATGCGTATTAAGAAAATAGGAAGAAAAGTTCTACCCGGTAAGAGGAACAAATCAACTGGGTCGCTTGCCTGTAAAACTGCACCAAGAGAGACCCTTTAGATATGAGATTCAATATAATTACATCAATAAACTCACATATATACAATATGAAACCCATCCCACATTCTTTTTGTGAGCATTAAAACACAAGTGCCAAGGTGTCTATGAAGCCCACCCCTACATGAACATATGGACATCAAACAAATATGATTCCAGGAATAAGGCTTATGTATATCAAGCCAAACAGCCTAGACAAGGTCTCGGTGAAGGGAGTACAAGAATTGTGCCATGAGTTTCAGAAAAACAAGGGCTACTCATGTTTCCTCTCCCTATCTTGTTACTTATAAATTACTCAGTTACAATTTCTGGCAACATTCTGATGCCCAAACCTGAGAATTATAATATTACAAATCGGTATTTTAAAGGAAAACTAGGCTTAAGAAACCCTGTTGAAAGCTGTACGAATGAGAAATTTTCCCATCCTAACCTGGTCTTACACAATTTCTTAGTCTTTAGATTTGCCACCCATAAAGAAAAATGGAAGACACTACTTTGAGGCTTCAGCAGAAGCACTCTCAAAAGAGCAAAAGTTCGGAAATTTGACTACAAATCTTAGAATATGTTAATCCCATCTCAGCTTTTGTAACCTCTAGTATTATGAAGTTCAAATTTTAATGCAAATACTCAAAATTTTCAACTTTGAGACTAGTTTTGTGACATCAAGAATCTGTAAATAATAGAGAATGACTACGATCAAAGACATTATTATCCTCTAAAATAAGTGAAACATTACCATCTTCCCGTTCATTTCCATCAGCATCGATTGGAGCTGGTTCTAAAATGTTCATCGAATTCGCAACAAGATCATCCATACATGAGATGTTGAGCATTCTCATGTGACAATTCTTGTCCTCCACACGCGGAACATAAAGCTTTTTCCTCACCTGCACATCACCCTCTTCATAAAACACAAAAAACATAAGAACCAAGAACAAATTTCTCAAAAATTATGATTTCAGGCTACTATAGCATGCTAAAAAAACTAAAATTTGGAGATGGGCACATAAAAATCACACCTTTGAGTGGACTTTGAAGAATTGCAGACAACAAGTTGGAGGTATCAACTTCCCTCAAAGCACTGCAGCATATATATGCACATAATCTTTGACAAGATCTAAACCACGGAGCTTCCAATACAACACTCTGGATTGCATTATCTAATCAAAAACAAAAAAATTGCAGACTTTTAGTTTTTTTTTTAAATTTAATAAAATGGAATTGACGCAGAGCATACTGGTTCAGTAAAGTGAAGAGTGGCTT